ATGAATTTTAGTACTATACATACCCGCTCCTTTACCTCTTCAGTATAAGCGACGAATCGCCGGCGTCTTATATGAACCGGGAATAATTAAGACTGAACCCATATGGAATCACCTCGATGCATGGACGCGTTTATCCTGCCGTTTGAAGACGTGATAAATATTAGCCACGAATAATCAATATTACGTATCACGTGACTTATTTTACCCCTTTGAGTGTTCTATTGTTGACAATCACACTCGATACGCGCGGTGGTAATAATTATTAGCCCCGTCATGGAAGTTATGTTTTTGACAGCATTGGTTTGTTTGTCTGTTCGTTCTTGTGTACAGAGTGTTCTGTAAAAATACAGTAAAGGATCCCAAATGAGTTCCATATCTTGTCAAAATTCTTAATATCATTATCCAGATAAGAAAAAAAAAGAGAGTGGTGGATGGATTTTCAAAAACTGTAAGGTAACAATGACAATACAGACATACAGCTAACAATAAATTGTAGACAAGACGTTGTAGTTATATTCTGGAGTAATCGCTATGGGGAAATGTCAAGTTATTTAAATAATGGTGATATAAGTATAATTATAAATTCTAAGTGTATTTTTTCATAGTAAAGGAATCCATTGATGTAAATAAACTCAACGTACAGGGCGTGGGGGAGAGGAATGAGCTGCATGGTGATGTCTGTACTTTCTAGTTCATTGAGGAGTTGGCGGTTAGAAATTTTTTGAAGACAGATTTCGATTTAATAACACATCTTTATTAAAATTATACTTTTGTGAGTGAGTGATATATTTGTGAGTAATTTCAGTTTATTTTCCAAAACCGAGTTATGGGATGGATTTGGTTAATATACTTCACATAGCAAAGATTCTTGTATGAATTAGCGTCACGATACACTTTTTTGTTCAAGTTATCTCCCGTTCGGTTTTGTCACTTTCTGGGTGATAGACGCTCCTTTTCCACATTATAACAGTTTTAGTAGATTAAATACTTGCATGGTTCTAAAGAAAAAGGCGTAAATTTGTCAATAAATTTGTTGTTTATTCGCAATCAAAAACGTTTCATTGCATTTTAACGGAAACTCATGTGTTACTACCACGATATCAACACTATTCATCCCGCTGTGGATAAATTACATCGATTCACATCAAAATAGACTTAAAATGACGTTTCATAGAAGTTTATGTGCGCCTCCGATTGTGAGTTAAGGCCACAAAATGACACTCAGACCATTCCGTGAAATTGAGTTTACCTCAGTTATCCTCCCAGACACTGGGAACTGTGGTCCACATCATTATGCCGTTCTTTTGGAACCGTCGTACGTACTCAAACTAAACCCAAGTTAGTCGGCGCAGTAATCGAAAACGGCTGCACGAAGATATACCCTTCAGTCGATATGAACACGATATTGTCACTATAGTAAGAATACATACACTAGACAGTTCATAGCTCGTGATAAGGCGAATAATTCTTTTTGTAGAACTTTAGTTGGCGTAGTCTATTCTGTATATACGTACATATATATGTTTACTCAATTCACATTGTTTTTACAGCATATGACTGCATGGCTTCTATTTATGGTGTACGAAGGATATGTTCATCAAATATCAGTGGTAATGTGCTCAAATGGCCTATCCGAAGTAAAGTATGTATTTTTGTGTTTATACACTGGCGTGCGGGTATTGAGTAATAAATAAATCAGTGATTCTACAAGCTGAAATTTAGTCTATTCTGTTATGCTTTCCCCACAAATCCCATGACACATCCGCAAGGGATATTAAACTATTGACTACGTCACATCAACATACATGGTCATTTGATATATTAGTCATAATTGCTGTCAGCTGTCGTCATTGTAGCACTGGTTTCATGTCCCACCTTTGCCAAATGACTTCTTTTTAGCACTAATTGTATGTCCCTGACTCTAACAATGCTTAAATTATTACAGTTATGCATATTAATGAGGTACCATGACCACTTCGTGAATTGCAAATAGCATCAAATAATATACAGGGCAAGCCTATTTATCTCTGGTCATACCTGGGTCAAAACATTGACGAATAGGGGCGCGATTTCGGCAGGGGTGCAATGTTCCCGATGTGATCCCCGGTTATATTCAAATGAATAAATAATGTCTCTGAAATTTAGCTGTCACCAACAGAATTAAGTATATAGTAGTCTTTTGTTAGGTCAACAAAAATTGTTGTAAAATACAGTACTGATTAAAGTATAATGTATTCTTCCTTGTAATAAACTATTTATAAACAGTGACAACAGTCAACTACGTCACGTGACTCCCAAATAACCAAATCCACAGTGCTGGTATAGTTAGCTCTACTGGAAAAGGGAAACAGCTACCAGAAAAATGTTTGTTTGTTTTTTGTCAAAATGAAGCCTAAAGTGTTTTTTTATTTCGTTAAATATCGTTTTGCTGGAGTGTTCAGTTCTTTTAATGCCGATCGTAGAGCAATTTCGCCAGCCAAGGTTTATTTATTCGACATCGCCTCGTGTTTGTAGGTACGACTGTGCATGGTCGGCTCTATCGAAACCGTGCGATTCGGACAATGACCATGGTGTGGAATAATTGTATACCATTATATATTATATTTGCAGTCTAATAAATCCAGAAATCACAGAGATCTGAAAATATTTTACGTTTTGTCTGTGATTCATCTTAAATCCGACCTCATAAAAAAATCAGTAAAGTCGGACAAAGACAGTTCACGTAGTCACAATTTGTTTGGTGAGATACGTTCAAATATCTGAAAAAAAAGATATTTCAGTTCACAACCTCGTTTTGGCTAGTCATCGGAGTAGCGCTCTTCTTTCGATTCCCCAATTTCCGTTTCATTTTCGAATAGTGAAAACAACGACGCGAGGAAAAAAACGATGCGATGTTACGGGATTCAACTATCAGCGAAGCGTTAGTGCATACGATCACTTTATTTTCATTTAACAACGACAAGTGTCAATGTACATATATATATTTAAAACAAACTAATTAAGATATTTTATAAATCATGGTTGAAAACACTGCAACACTAGCTTTGAAAGCTTATCTGTCTTTCCTTGCTATTTGCATTCTGTGACTATTTACAGAATGGAATGCTTCACTTGTCAATTATCTTCATTGAAAATTCATTAATAGACAGTGTCAACAACAATAAAAAAACTTGCATGTTGTCCTTCATATTACGTCATCAAAGCAATTATGATACATTGGCGTGAAATGTCCTTTTTATATTGTCAACTGGATTATTTTGTTAAGAAACAACTGGTTGATTTTTACCGAGAAAAAGGGTGCCCATATAGTGTGTTTACAGACGTGCTTCAGCCCAACTCTATATGGTGTGACCTTTTGAAAAAGACTGGTCCAGTCGTGACAAATTTACCACGACTGTTCTGCCGCGTTTATACCAGTATTCTGTAAACCATGATACCACTTTCATGATTTTAATTAAAAGCATTAAATTAAAAAAACATATGCATTATATTATAAAATACCTATATTTTCTATCAAAACAGCGTTTTTGGGAGTTATCAAAACACTTCACTGTGCGCACACACAAAACACTGAGTGTTTTAAGAGGACATCAATGTGTAATTAATGTATAGGACATTTATGGACTAATGTACCCAACTTTATGCAAGCAGTACTAACAAAATTGAGTGAATAGTCTGGGATTCGTATGTAAACATTATGGTATATATGCTAACTAGACAATCACCGAAGGTGGCGTAATTCAGCGCATAAAATAGTTTTATGTCAAGTACCAGGTTGTAAAAGAATTAATTGTTTGTATGCGTATATGGTCTTACCAACTTAAAGGGGCACCTTCCAGTTAAGCTAATTTCACAACAAATTTACTTTCTGGATTAAAATAACAATGGATAACAAAAGATAGATTAACGATGTAAACAACATAAACAATGGTGTCCCATGATTCTTTGGTGCAATCCATGGGATTGAGCGGTTCCCCTTTAAAGGTACAACTGGAAATCGAGACACGTGGCGAATTAAGTGTATTGTGGCATTTTGTGAACTCTTCTGAGAATTCCTGCGCGTGATTTAAACGAAAACACTGACTGCAAGTGTTTTCATGATGTACACTTTTCGAAATTATGCACATTATAAAAAGTGGGGGACAAGCTTATAAACACTTTAAATATTTTACCCAAAACAGTAAAATTGTTTTATTTTAAAACAGTAGTGTTGCAAACATCTCATTTGCGATTTTGAGAAAAAACACTTAATGTGTTTAATTATAAAACACTTAGCGTGCAGACAAAAATGCGTCATATTTTAAAACATTTGGATTTACAGTGTAGTTTCCAACGCGTTTTTCAAGGTGTTAAATATGGTAATAAAAGGCAGCTTTTGATCTGAGTTGTTTTTACGCAAGTAGAACTAATAGCAAAGAATACGCCCCGAAATAGACCTTTGGAACGGCTGGGTCAATCTAATTTTGCCCATCTGTATTATGATTTAAATATTTTAAAAAGATTAACGACTGATTTGCCTGATTGTGTACAAAAATCAAAAACATTCGAATAAAAATTTAGTTTTTAACACAAATCATATTTCACATATATTAGGATTTATACAACGTAAATATTTAAAAACCGCTTTAATATAACATTATATTTTTTTACAAAAATAACGTTTTAGCCTTGCGCATTGATACGTATACTCCAGCAAGCAAGTAATTTGGCATAAATAAAGAGTGTTTCGGTCTGTATGTAACGCTTACACGTTGAATGAAAAAAAAATGATTAATAAATATATCACGTTTAGGAAATCATTTTTTCTACGAACATACATATCACGATATTTAGATGGCAGGACGTCAGGTTTGGTATGCGGTACCAATAATTCCAACTATATTTATAAATATAGGGGTTAAACTCCTCCATATTAGAGGCAGAACTGTTATATTTAGTATTCAAATTTATTACAGAATTAGTACTGGTATGCGCTTTTCGTATTCGGGAAGGTACATTTGTGTGCTGGACATCCAGAAGGAAACAAGTCATAAAAATGGAGAACAGATATCTTGAACCTGACGCCGATACCCGTAAGGGACTTCTATCTAAAGTCATTGAATTTACGGAAGAATATATTAAAATTGTTGAAGAAAACAACGTGAAACCTTACTACATGGGAACGAATAAAGGGTCTGGTCTACGAGCCAGTTCTATACATGAACACGGAGCTGATCTAGGTAATGTATCTAAATCAAACTAAATTGTGTTGTGATAGTCATTGTAATGGAGCAGATTTGCACATAGATGTACAAATGCCAATGATGAATTGAACCATCCTCACATATTGGTAATTTTATCAAAAAACATATTTTTAATGATTAGAAATGTATTAGCATCGTAGTTTAAGAGTGGATTTTTGTTGTGTACAATTGGTATGGAATTCAATGGAGGTGTTAGGATTCATCATCATCATTTCCTTTTCTCCTGGTTGAGAATATTACCAGCATCTCTCTCCCTCTCTGTCTTGAGCCGCTACTTCTGCCTCTGCCCAAGTCTGTCCAAGGATTGGAATTGGGGTAGCATATTCAAGAGAAATGTCAAATGTTAGTGATATATTTAATGGAGGGTTTTGATTTAGAGTACAGTACAGTATTCTATAAACTCCGTTATTAAAATATAGTCTAATATAATTCAGGGAAAGGTATTCAGTAAAGAGTTCTCATTTGGAGAACAGTTTTCACTCAGGGAAGGTATTCTATGAAGGAATTTCGTTTAGAGAAGAATTTATATGGTTGGTCAACCGGTGTTGTTAAAAATATCTGTTAAGCTTGTGTGAATTATTCAAGCAGAATGTGCGAATACAACATGGCTACCGGCAAAACGACAACGAAAACAGTAAAATGAATATTAATGTTTCAATATTCAATCATAACGTTTTAGAAATATCAATACAAAATCATACGAAAAAATCTGCTTACAACTGTTTTTAATCCGTTTCTAAAACATGCACAGAATGGTGGTTTTGTGCACGTTTTCGACACGGCTTATCAGCCACCTCAAGTGCCAAATCCATGAAATAAATAGCCAATGTCAATAGGTGTTAAAAATGGATTAAGTACTGGCAAACCAACTTCTGCATAGGTATGTCTCTAAACGCATGCTTTTTGGTTGATTTAGTCATATTTTTGAACTCAGAAGCCTTAATATTACATGTAAGAACGACAAAAAATCCGTCGAGTAAAAGGGATGCTGGCTGTTCCCTCTCTGGACTCCCTCCCCACGTATACTAGTACTACCAATTCCTAGCACGTCCTCATTTGGTGACGCACGTCAAGCTATAAACGGGAAACATTACTCATTTTGTGGTAATTGCCATAATAATGATGATTCCCTCGCCTTCGGCTCTGGCATCACCAATATTAAATAAATAAATGTGATAAACAACGATCTCCAAACAACGTAGGCATGTGAGAATTAGAAGCGTGTATTTTCTTAACGTCGCCAATAGCTTTATTCATCTGTTTGTTATACATGTCTGTTATACAACACATGTTTTTTCGAAGTTATTACAACACCATCACCATCACCATGTATGCCTTTTCGCGGAGTGCAGTCTCTAATTTATTGCATATTTCCACTACATATACCCAAACCAATCACAGATGATATATTGACGACATACAAAGACCATGTACTACGAGAAGGATTGCAAATGCAGCATGGACATAACTTTGTATACCAGTTATGTGGATCAACGTTCAGTTCTGCTCTGGCCAGTTATTTGGCATCACGTACAAATCCATTTCCAGGTATGTGTCATGTTATTGTAAATATGCAAATCATTGTTCCGTATTGTATACCTATCTGCACAGCACTATTAACCCAGTGACAGTTTATTGTTGATATATCATTACATTGTTCTGTGGTACAAAAACAAAACCACAAGAACTATGATGAAGTATTATGAATTCAATTTGTCTTTCAACGAGCATTTTAACAAGGCACATTCGATAGTCACAGCGATAATCCGTATATTCCAGTCATAATCCGCACAGTCTTTTCTGTGGATCGGCGTGTACAGGTTTCACGCTTGTAATAAAAGCACCCTTTTTGGGGGGTAGACATAAATCAATGTTATTGCAATGCTGTACGCGAGCGCCGGTTCGAGTCACGCACGCAGTACGTGTACTTTGATTTGACATAGTATTTACTCTGCCGTGTATTTGATGTTATTCATTTGCTGCTCCGGTCAGTGATGCATACATAGTACCTGATATATATAATCCGGGTAACAATGGTTTACTGATCGTTTCATCTACGTATTATAGTGACGATTTTTAAATAAAATCATACGTTTTATTATTCAAGTTTCGCGAATTTTGTTTTTGAGAAATTGAATTTTCCCCACACATGGAATATTAGAAATAACACAACGTGTAATGTGGCCAAATTCATTTTGTATAAATTCAATTCCCAGTGATCTACTGTATGAAGAGTTAATTTACCAAGTGATATTTGACCTGATACAAAAGGTTATCACATGACGTATCATGTGACTAGTCACATATGCATAATTATAATAAAAAAACTATTGTATGCTGGATAGTCAAATCAACTAAAGAATATGGAAAGGTTTTTTGTCTATTATTCATCTGATAACGTACGTCATTGACGTGGTGAGTGACTCTAGCATGTCGTGATATGTGATAAACAATGAAAAAAATGAACTGGACCACATGGATATGACGCTATACACTAAATCATATGAATTAGCATAATACGAGTAAAATGACAAAATCACTGACCTGGACGTGTACAAGGGCATTATTCAATTTTCTGTGTGTCAATAAAACTGAATATTGATCGATGTCTGAGGTAAATGATTTATTGTGCTGAAAACTCAATTAGTACATTCATAACACCTCTGGCTGCTTTTGTGGTTTCTTGTGAAGATCACATTTGTTCGTTTACCACTAGAAAGTAAGGAGAGAAGTTGCAAGATGAAATCATGTTTTGAAAATTGATTTTAAAAGTCAATGTGAATTGAAGCTAGTGCAAATAAATGTGCAATAAAAAAGACTCATCCAAAAATCGAAAGTGTCCAATAGACTTGACTTAAAAGGCAACTGAGCGATTATCCGTGATGACTCATCTGCGACGAAGTCGAACCAGCAACGCCCCAATATTCACAAATTTAATGTATGACACCTAAAATCACAAAAAAAAAAACATTACTCATCGGCTATTATGTTAAACCGTAATGATTACTAAAATATTACTAAGTATCTATAAACATGATGTTAAATAATTAATGAATTGACAGTCAATAGGACTGTCTATTTTGAGAAATGTTTCTGAAATGTCATTTCTTAAAAGATCCTATGATGACTCTATATTAATAATTAAACTAGCTTGTTTGTTTTATTTTACATCCTTGGCATATAGACTTAGACTGGTTTGGATTCACACTATTTCAAATTAATGTATAATTTACTTGTGATGGGAGTAATATTCCTGTAAATTACTATGATTATACCAGTTTACAAAACAGTATCCGACAGTAATCACCTTATTATAAGCATTTGAAATCTTTGCACAGGGTGACTGATTATGCGATTTAGCTATTCTTCCTACTCGAGTGCTATATCGAGCGGTAGAGAAAATTTACATCTGTATAAAAATTAGAAAATTGAATTTGTTTATGTGAACTTTTGATTTTACTGTTATTGCATGCCAATTCTCATTCCAATTGTTCGAACTGTGTATTCAAAACTTGTAATAACATAAATATGGGGTGAAATAATGTAAATATGAGATGAAATAATGTGAATATGAGATGAAATAATGTGAATATGAGATGAAATAATGTGAATGTGAGATGAAATAATGTGAATATGAGATGAAATAATGTGAATATGAAATGAAATAATGTGAATATGAGATGAAATAATGTGAATATGAGATGAAATAATGTGAATATGAAATGAAATAATGTGAGTATGAGTTGAAATAATGTGAATATGAAATGAAATAATGTGAATATGAGATGAAATAATGTGAATATGAAATGAAATAATGTGAATATGAGATGAAATAATGTGAATATGAGATGAAATAATGTGAATATGAAATGAAATAATGTGAATATGAGATGAAATAATGTGAATATGAAATGAAATAATGTGAATATGAGTTGAAATAATGTGAATATGAGATGAAATAATGTGAATATGAAATGAAATAATGTGAATATGAGATGAAATAATGTGAATATGAGATGAAATAATGTGAATATGAAATGAAATAATGTGAATATGAGTTGAAATAATGTGAATATGAAATGAAATAATGTGAATATGAAATGAAATAATGTGAATATGAGATAAAATAATGTGAATATAAGATGAAATAATGTGAATATGAGATGAAATAATGTGAATATGAGATGAAATAATGTGAATATGAGATGAAATAATGTGAATATGAAATGAAATAATGTGAATATGAGATGAAATAATGTGAATATGAAAGGAAATAATGTGAATATGAGATGAAATAATGTGAATATGAGATGAAATAATGTGAATATGAGATGAAATAATGTGAATATGAGATGAAATGATGTGAATGTGAGATGAAATAATGTGAATATGAGATGAAATAATGTGAATATGAGATGGAATAATGTGAATATGAAATGAAATAATGTGAATATGAGATGAAATAATGTGAATATGAAATGAAATGATGTGAATATGAAATGAAATAATGTGAATATGAGGTGAAATAATGTGAATATGAGATGATATAATGTGAATATGAGATGAAATAATGTGAATATAAGATGAAATAATGTGAATATGAGATGAAATAATGTGAATATGAAATGGAATAATGTGAATATGAAATGTAATAATGTGAATATGAAATGAAATAATGTGAATATGAGATGAAATAATGTGAATATGAAATGGAATAATGTGAATATGAAATGTAATAATGTGAATATGAAATGAAATAATGTGAATATGAAATGAAATAATGTGAATATGAAATGAAATAATGTGAATATGAGATGAAATAATGTGAATATGAAATGGAATAATGTGAATATGAGGTGAAATAATGTGAATATGAGATGATATAATGTGAATATGAGATGAAATAATGTGAATATAAGATGAAATAATGTGAATATGAGATGAAATAATGTGAATATGAAATGGAATAATGTGAATATGAAATGTAATAATGTGAATATGAAATGAAATAATGTGAATATGAGATGAAATAATGTGAATATGAGATGAAATAATGTGAATATGAAATGAAACATGCGAACATGCGAATTCATCCTTATCATCTCATACTATGACGACTTTGTTGCTTGGATACCAACTCATCTACTGTTGGCAACTGATAGTTTGCTCGCTTCACATCTTCATAGCCCCATGTACACCCATAGCTTGTCGGCTTCTTGTACTACTACAAGTCTACTAATTCAATACAATGATGGTGTGACTTTACTGATTATACTATGTGTTAGAAATCTACTGCTTTAACAGGAGAATCCATCTCTATGTGGTATTTATTCAACTTATGTATTCTGTATTCACTTATTATTTTGTCATTGAAATTGACCAATAGTGCTTACTCTGTAGCAGCATCACTACTGATTTGTTTACACCAAGTGATATCTGAACCTTCCCTGTGCACGTTCCTTCATCTCTGGACTATTTTCAGTATATCAGACTGTGTTACTGTGATGTTTTGTCTTTTATTCCGCCGTTTTCAGTCACACCAACGGCACTACTTTTTACATATCAATACACTCGAGCGACCAGGTGACATATACCACTAAATCAAATCACTAAAATCAAGGACATACTTGACAAATCTTGATCCAGCTCACTGTATCCACTTATGTGAATTTAGATGACGTAATCATAGGTTACCTATTATGACTGATCGCTATTAAAATGTTGCTACTCATGATCGAATATGTATCTTATGCCCAGGCAATTATATTATTGATGAATTTCACTATCTGTTTGAGTGCGTTGCTTTCTATACAATAAGGAAACAATTATTAAAACCGTATTATCCTTTTAGACCAAATATATTAAAAATGGGGCATTTATTCAATTCATCAAAACAACTTATTACTGAATTATTGAACCTTTCTAAGTTGTGTAATTGTATTATGAAGCAGTTTTAATTGTTGTAATGATCCATATATTATTATTATTATTATTATTATTATTATTATTATTATTATTATTATTATTATTATTATTATTATTATTATTATTATTATTATTATTACCATTACAAAAGTATGTATTCTGACGTATGCAATAAAGTAATACCTAACACGTCACAGTTATATTTAGGGCTATTCCCCGACTGTAAATTATGTGTACCTAATGGACTTTTAACCTTCATAAAGCTTATTTTTACCCACAACTTTCACAACACTCAATAAACTTGAATGTAACATAGCACAGCAAGTTCCAATTGGTTCTAATTGGACAGCCATTTTTAAATGAAAAGTAATTGGAATCATATATGCTGCATTATTCACATTGCTATTCACTGGATCAATACGATAACATATGTAAACGAATTGTGGATAATATAACGTGACCTTCGACGTAGAAATGACGTATCCTACTGTGTATTCTAGAGTGGAAATGAACACGTATTTTAGATGACGCAGAGTGGCATCAACAAACGATCTTCGAACGTACTACCACAGGGA